AACAAAATATTAACAAAAAATGCAATAGAGTTTGTAACATAACAAGTTATAAAATCGCATAATTTATTTCATCTTCCCTAACATACAGTCACACACGTACACCCTCTGCTGCATCTAGGCCTAACGCACGCCATCCGGTCAAGGTAATATCCTATATTAATTAGCCTACATGAGCATGACTGTACCACTCAAATCTTTAAAAATACTGCTGTTCTTTTTTAATTAAATGTAAAACATTGTAACACCTCACCTAATAATAGTTTGAGATTCACAATATTTCACATTTTTAAGTAAGGAAAGTTACCTTTAAAAAAACCATCATTACCGACTTAATAATAGTTTGTTTAAGGTACCTACTGTACGTTAAAAAGTAACACTAAATAACACAACTAGGCCTAATCTCTTAACTTAAAATATTTTTTAACATTCACAACAAGGTAATTATTAGAAGCATCATTAAATCTCACCCAGAAAAAATTTTAAAATCATCAATGATGATGTTTTCTGTTGTTAAAATACACATGAAAAACTATGATCCTAAGAAAATACCGTGCCCAAAATTTGCACATTTTAAAGCTCTAACATGAAATACAGTAATACAATAATTGACTTCCTAGTTGTAACTTAAGGGCATGAAACAAACCTAAAATATTGTTGCACTCCAGATCCTCTTCCTCAGATGACGATTCATAACCTGTTGATTTGTGTTTATCCACGGCTTGTTGCATGTGCATCTTTGCCTTTTTAAACTTATCTTCAGCCCCAGCATTTCTGTTGGCATCATTGCTGTGATTATTCTGTGGCTGGTTGCCTCTCCCTCTCCAAGGGTTGCCTTTCCCCCGTCCGTCTCTAGCACTCATATTCTATACAAATTTTAAAAGTATTTAGCTTAGGCTTCATAAAACAACAAGGAAATGGCAGTAATATAAATAAATGCATAAAAGCAGAATCCCAACTCAATGGAGAATAAGAAACTAACAAACTGAACGGAAATCCACCTATCTACTGAGACTTGAGGCTTTTCCTAACAAAACGGAAGATATTTTCGGATAAGATACAGCACACAAAATAGTGTAGAGGAAGGAATGATCATTAACTTAATAAAAAAGTATTTGGATATACTATACTGGTCTACAACTCCCCAGTATTAGACTTAATAACAGGGTCATAAGTTCTACAGCCTACACAATGCTTCTTCTACCTACATAAAGCTTTTTAAATTATAAAAAATAAAAAAATTCTCAAGAAAATAAGAGTGGTCTGTATTCATCAATAAAATATGAAAGTTTTGGTTTTCTGGCCTATGCTTAGCTATGGCTGGGTATCTGAGTGGTTATTAGTTATGTGACAAGTTGAGTTGATGAGTCGAGTTGACTCGAGTCAAGAGCCAACTCGATTCAACTCATTCACAACATGAGTTGGACACAAACTCGTACGGAGATTGCCGTAACTACACGTAGGCCTACTGAATTCAGAGGCAAGAAACCGAACTCATAAGGAGAAAGCCGAACCTCCACAAACTTGGAACAAGTTGAATTGTGAAACTATAACGCTAAACTTATTGGCTAAATGTAAGTCGAGCCGTCTCGCAAAACTATAACCCTATGTATTGGGTGCGCTGCGAGTCAACCTGAACTCGCCAAATGAAGGCCGAAGTTTCACAGTGATACCGAGTTGAGTCTGACTCGTCGAGTTGCAAATTGTGTTAAAATAGGCCTAATCGTGTCGAGTTTAATTTAATTAGAGTCAAGGAAACACCGGTAGGGGACTTGACTCCCTTTTACCTTTTACCTTCGATGTCTTCACCACAATCCGTAGATCGGGGAATCGTCATAATTCTTCCGTCTGGACGGGATTTTTCTATTTGTTCACGAAGTGAGCTGGCGTATGTGTACGTATGTGTGTTCCTCTATGTACTCGTTTATGTTGTAATATGGTCTATTGGTGAGGTATTTTTTTAAGTGTTGGACAAATGTTTTATTGTTGTGTAGAACTTTAAATTGTTGTGGTAGCAAATTGTAAAATTTTGAGCCAGTGTATTGTGGTGTATTGCTGAATTTAGAGAGTCTATGTTGGGGTAGATCTATGTTTGCTTTGTGTCTTGTATTGTGTGTATGGAGTTCTTTTCTGCGGACAGGTGTTAAGTTTATGGAGTAAATGATGGTTTCAAGGATATACAGTGATGTGATGGTAAGGATGTTGAGTCGGATGAAGTGTGGTTTGCAATGTTCATTTGGGTCTAACCTCAAGATTGTTCTTACAGTCTTTTTCTGTAGAATTAATATTCTTTCGAGGTTTTTGGCAGATGTAGAACCCCATGCGGCAATGCCATATCTCAAGTGTGAAGCGAAGATGGAGTGGTAGGCTATCATTGTGGTTTCCAGATCGGTGGTGTTGCAGATTCTACGGAGTACAAAGAGTGCAGTAGACAGTTTTTTACTAAGGTAATCTATATGGATCTGCCAGCTTAGGTTTTCGTCAATGTAGATACCCAGGAATTTAGTTGAGTTAACCGTGGGAATGCTCAGTCCGGACCAATCGTCTGTTCTTTTATTGTTATTGTTTATTCGGAAGTTGATGTGTACAGTTTTGTTCTTGTTGATAATGAGGTTTATATCTTCACAGGCTGTTGTTGCTTGATCCATTGTTGATTTTATTAAGTTAATGTTGGATACTTGACGATTTGTTGGAACAACTCCTCACATCACTAGTGGTAATAGTGCTCGGCTAACAATCAAAAGGTTGCCAGATTGATCATGAGAGGTCAGTTGCTTTTTGATGGTTCGAAACTGGACCCTCCCGGCAGTTCCTGATCATAGGGCTTTAAGTTACCCAGGTTTATTATCCTAATAGTCTCTTTTCAATACATTACCTACTTTAATTAAAATGCATAACCTCAAAAGGCTACAACTAAAACAAAAATAATTGATGGAAACTAATAAATCATACTTACGGAAATTGGGCTAGGCCTACTTAGATTGTATGCTTGACATTATCCATATTGTAGGTTATAGGCCTAATCATAATCATTTTTAAGGCATTATCATTAAAACCGGAGGAGACAAAAATGTGTAAGTCTGCTAAACAACTGCATTGCATTATCATTCATTTCATTGCACGTTGGTTTGGTTCGGTTAGATTATCTCGGTCGGCTCTCGGTCACACATCCACATCACACAACCACCGACCAAACACAACACAACACATCATCGTCGTTTCGTTTCGTCCTCGGTATCGGTTCCGTTCGGTATCATTTTTTTAGTTCAAGTTAAGTTCACACTTCCACTTCACGTTCACGTCCACATCGTTGATCTTTGACTTTGATCGTTCCGCCCGTTGCGGGTTCAGGTTCCGGTTGTCGATCTAGTTGTGGTGCTAACCAGGGCTACTGGGAGCTACCCCATTGACTATTTATGCTATTGCTATTAGTCAATGGTGCTACCCCATGGTGGAATGTTTCTAATTATATGATAGACCAAAAATCTATTCGTAATCATCAATTTAATGACCATTAGGTATATATAGTCAATGCCTTTAATTCAATGTCGATGTTTGCGGACATTAGACCATAGATTAATCATGCTAGAAAGTCATTTCATGGAGTAAATTTAATCTACGATCCAGGCTGAAATCACAGACAATATAATACTTTAATGTAATTACCTTAATTCCATTGTCTGTGCTTAAATGTTTGCATGGACTGTTTCATTTTTTCGCTGCCACCACACCACGAGTAATCAGCTGTCACTTGGCTGTCAGTTGTCAGTTCAGTAACATTGAGATATCAAAGCCTGGTTTACACGGGTCGAGTATGTCAGACGAGTTATTCGGCCCAGTTACTAGGCCCAGTTGTTGATTTGTTCAACTCGTCCAGTACTTGAATGGACTGTCTACACACATTCCTATTTTTAACAGGGACAGTGCGTAGGCACAGTTTTATTATTTATCTATAGTGAAGGGTATGCCGTATACCATAGCTTTCGTGTTAAATGTTGTTTGAGTTTAAAATGGCCCTTCAAGAGTTTAATACTGAATCCATACAGTAACTTAATGAAATCACTGAATTAGATTATTAAATATAAAACTGAACACTACTTAAATTCAGAGATTGCTTAAAAGCTTTCTTGAAAATAACTTTTAAACGGTGAGGAAATAAAACAAAGTGAAAGGTAATATTCCAAAAGAGAATAAGATTTGCTACAAATTACTATACTGCTTTCTTTAAAATAATATATAAATGCAGCCAAAAGTTGCCTCCAAATAAAAAAACATGAAAACACCGTTTTCAATGTATATTTCTGATAGAACACATTTTTAGAAAGTGAGCTTTCTAACGACCCATTGATTAATACAATCAGTCTAGTAGAACTGTCTGAAAGAGTCTTCTTTTGTCACGCTGTTGTTACAGTGTAGAAGACTTTTTAAGAAATCGTTGATTTTTAGTTTTTATTTATAAGAAATATTGTTTTATTTGTAAGAAAAATTTTGTTGACGCTATTATGCAGTTATAGCGACTGTCAAAATAAAAATAAAGATATTTGAGTTTGAGTATAAGAATAGATTTACGAGACAATGCAACACAGTACTGTTCAACTTGTACTTGTACAAAATCACTTGTGCTGTTCAAATAAACCATTGAGCATTGAGGGTGAGTAGGCCTACACTACTCACTGAACTAACCTCAATACTGATCGTTGTATGTAATCGTCAATCGACTCACTCAGCGACCACAAAAAAATATAAAAAAAATATTCTGTGGTCGCCGGACTCACTTGATAGCACTAAACAGATGTTTCGCGGGCAAATCGTGGTGGTGGGGGTAGCTACTGGGCCGAGCAACTCGGTTTTCAACTAAATCACTCGACTCGCTCTCAACTGACCTCTTTTTATCAACTCGCCCGTTGCTCGACTCGCCTGCATGTCTACACCATGCGAGTTAGAGAGCGAGTGGCAACTCGTACACTGACTCGCCCACCGTACTCGACCCGTGTAAACCAGGCTTTCGATCAGTTGTTTTGTTTAGGTTTTCGTTTCGTTGTTTTGTTTTGATCTTGCTACCAAATTGCAATTTCTCATTCTATTTCTTATCGATTAAATGGTTGGAGAATGAGAGACTTTAATTAATTAATAAAAGTCTTGTTTTCTCATCATTCTCTGATATTAGTATTTTCATTTGTTACTTACCAATTTATGTTGTTATTTTATTAGCTAAGTATTAACTTTTTTCGTGACCTCACTCAAAGAAAAAGTATCATTCTATGATTAAAAATATTGAATATTTATTTTGTGTGACAACTGACAACAATCTCCAACTGTAAGTTAGTGTTACTAAAAAGTTATGGTTTTACAGCCACCTTCCACTGAAAACGACACAATGAGGTTCTTATCCAAGCCTACTGCATTATTTCAAAACTAATATATTAAGGTAATTCGGTAAGTTAGGTTAGGTTTTAACCTAACTAACCAAACTTGATATATCGAATGAAACAATCTATATATTCATTCGAATTAGTGTAGGACGTAAAGTAAAGTGCAGTTAATAGATTTACCAAACCAGTGTGTTTGCGTCTCTATGTACATTTTTACTTTATAGTAATTAAGCATTTTTGTGGCAATTAATTGGATTTTTATATAGGCCCCTAACGCCTTTCATTCCACATTATAATTTGATGGCAGCTTTATCATGAACTTATTTATTCAAATAATTGCCTATTGGTCAACTTCTTTCTACCAGATTTTAGTATGCTATAACTGTAGCTTAGAAAGTAATAAAAGATATGTAGGCCTATATGTTAATATAAAATACTTGCCTACACTAAACTATACATGATGTGAGCAAGGTTGCTACCTTTGGTTTGGGAAGAATCGGGACGGGCCCCACCTCCCCCAGGATTAACACAGATATAAACACAGCAAAGGGGTCCAAAGTCAATACTGTTACGACAGAATCAGGACAGGTGGCAACCCTGGATGAGAGTGATGGAACATTTAACTTATACTACAAATATTCTGTGTATAAAGTAGGTTGCAACAAGGTGGTGTGCGTGAGTTTGAATTGCCACTCAGTTTTCTAGTTGCAAATAAAGGTCCTCAAGAGAAACAAGAAACAAAGAAAATTTTAATTATTCTTTTTAACGAATTTCCTATATAGGGAATAAGCTATTACCGTAGTATTTTAAATTTTCAAAGGTTTTTGGCTCTAATTTAACCCTATAAGCAATGTGTCAAGATGTAAACAGCTTCAAAATAAGTAAAAATCATCACAATTTATAGAATTAAAATTTACACCTCCATGCGTATTATTATCATCGATAAAAATTATTATCGATTATTACCATAGGCTATTTAATCATAATGAGCATATCTCAACTTGTAATCATAATCTGTTAATTTGGTGTTAAATCCGTTGGCAAATATATAAATAAATAAATAAAAGCCTGGTAAAACCGAAGGAAAATTAATACATTTTTTAGTACGGTAATCCACTTTTGCCCTCACCAACTAAATTTGTTCAAAAATGTTAAGCCATAATTAATGTATTTACCTTAGCCAAACTAGCTTGGTATACGATCTACCTTACTTACATCCTTATGCATTGTTTTCAGCTAACTTACAGGTAGCATTTTATAAAAGAAATGATTCTTAAATTGGTTACATTTGATGCAACTGGAACTCTTCTCCAATTTAGAGGAACTGTTGGAAGCCATTATGCAAAAATCGCATCTAAATACAGTGTTAATGTACAACCTCGCACGCTGACAAAAAACTTTCCTTTGGTTTTTAAGAGAATGTTAATTGAACATCCAAATTTTGGAGCTAACAACGGGATAGGTTGGCAACATTGGTGGGAACAGTTGGTGTCTAGAGTTATCAAGGATTCACTGCCTGGAAGTGTCTCAATAGAATCATCGACTGTTAACAAAATATCTTCAGATTTAATAGAAATTTATTCAACAAAAGAATGTTGGAAGTTAGCTGACGGGGCAGAGCGGTTGTTGGAAGAACTGAGTGGTAGAAAGTTTCGTTTAGGAGTGATCTCTAACAGTGACCCAAGACTCGGGACTATTTTACAAGACCTTAATATAAAACATTATTTTGATTTTGTGACAGTCTCGTTCTCAGTAAATTGTGAGAAACCAGACAGTGCTATTTTCAAAGCTGTGGAAGACATGAATGTTGGAATAAAAAAGTGTGAAATATTGCACATCGGTGACAACCCCAAATTAGACTTCATGGGAGCCAGAAATGTTGGTTGGAACGCACTTCTTGTTGCTAACAACTCCAAAGTATTGAATGATTTTCCATCGATTGAAAAGGATTGGGTTGTTGATAGTATTGATGAAATATACCAAGTACTTGAAAACAAAAACATAATTTAATTACTGTTTGATGAGTATATTTGAGAAAATAACTAAACACATGATTGTTTACATTTGAAGAAGCTTGTCAGCCCTGTCAACTACAGTTATCCATCGATAGTCTGACTTTTTAAATCTGGTGTACTAATGTAAGTAGGGCTAAGTTTGACAGCAGTCTTATTGATAGAAATAAAACAAGCCTGCAGTGGCATGAATCGGTGAATCCCCATCCCCTTGTAGGCATATAATAAATTCAAGTCACTGGCTAATCACCGACTAGCAAATAATTTGTTAGGTACTTTTTTTAACTTCACTGTGTTTTTATACTGTCCTAAACCTTAATAGTCAATACTGCTTGAAAAAATCAGATCTTGATAATCAGACACCCTCCTCACTCCTTATCTATCAGATTATCAAAAGGACTTTAATGTATTAAACCCTTTAAAAAAACTGACTTTGCGATAGATTTTATTGCAACACGGAATTAATAATTCATCAAATTTCTCTAAAAATCTATGATATAATATGAACCTTGGAAAAGTAATACATCTGTTAGATTATGATTCTGATTCTGACAAACAAGGACATGCAAAAGATTGTTTTAATTCAAATTGAAAGGCTTATTTGAATCACAGAAACATACTGTTAAGTGAAAGAGAGATTTGGTTTTTTACTGTATCTCAACTTTTACCATGTTTTCAGCGAATTTTCATTTGGGAAATTATAATTATAGCTGTAAACCACTGTCATTTTTTTCACACTCCTCAGTAGCCCAAAACCAAGTTTGTTTGGTTTTTATTCTCAAATTTGTTACTATTGCGTAGGTACAATATTTATCACTTAGGAATTCTCAACCTATAAGAATTCTCTGATTTTTACAAAATCTGGAATGAAAGTGTAAACAAAATAGGCCTTTTCCTTTTCCTTCTCATATTAGAAAAAAAGATTTCAAGTATTTTTTACCATAGGGCCTATACATGTTTACCAAGACATACAATTTGGAATATGCCAAAAATATCATGCCCAATGGTAACTGAGTGCTTATTGCGGTATACTGTTGTGTCATCCTTAGTAACAATAAAATAGTTGTAACTAGAAACTCATGTAGTTTTCTATTCAAGGACGTCTTTGTAAGATTTGACAAACTTATTTTTACATTAACGCTTACGCTATAATTTAACCAACACAACTCTTGTTTTATCCTTTTCATGGGCTATACCTAAGTGATCGTGGAGCCAATGTAATTTATTTTGGACACGTATGTATTTGGAAATTTCCTTTTATTGTGAACCTGTTTGAATAAACGCTCGACTAATTAATTGCAATTAAATTTCTTAGTTTGCAGTTTTTCTGCAGGTTTTTAAAAATTTTACATTTTGTTTGATATTTTTGTTATTGTTTTATTGTTGAAATAAAAGTTACCATTTTTAATATGGTTTTACTTTCCTGGAGTATGTTTAAATAGCCATATCTCATGGCTGTGACCAATTATGTGTGAGTTTAAAAATTTTAAAAATCAATTGAAACATAAGTTGAGTCATGATCACATAAAATATCATGCATTAGAAATTTGTAGTTCCCTAAGGAAGAGTACCTAACATTTGATAAATTTAACTTATAGGAACTAAAATTTCAACCAATTAAGTACATAGGAAAATACCAATTAAATTATCAAGGTTTATACTTTTAGAATCCAAAGATCTAACTGTAACTGACTAATTATTTGTGTTTGATCTTTGAAAATAGCATCTAGAAGCCAATTGGAGTAAATTAAATTTATCGAAGAGTAAGATTGATCAAAACTGAATCTAACAAGGTTTTAATGTAACATTATAAATCTACTTAGTTTCAAACACATTTTGAAGGTTAAATGAACAATAACATTAATTTTCACTATTTGTTTATTTCCAAACAACCTTTGTTGGTTAATTATGTGGAATACAATAGTTCTAAGCAATAATAGGCGTAACAATAGGATCAAGTAACAATCTTAAGTATATTGTTGGTAACAGGTTAACAATACTTGAGAATAATCTGACTCCCTAATCATGAACAACCTCAAGGAGCATAAGTCAATCGTGTTAAATTTGGCACAAACTACACGGGCTGCCATTTGAACTTGTGTTTAGGATAGATACTTTTTTTTTGGATTCACACTGTATACAATTTTCTAAGGATCGAACTGGTTTGTATAGATCTAATTTAGAGAAAATGGCAGATCGGAGGAAAAGAAGAATTTGTCTGTAAAATCATTTCATTGATAGGAAAATGTACCCTTGATTTTGTTAACTGAAAAATTAGTCGAATGAAGCAACTAAAGGTAGATTGAGCTGCAATAATCTCTAAAGTTTATTTAAAACCTGATTAAAGTTTATGTATAAGAAAGAATCATCTTGTTTATACCAACAGTCAATCGTGACAAAATTATTCACTATTTTACACTGTTATAAGAAAAGAGTATTACTCAAAATATAATTTAATGAGATTGCTAAGCATCTACAGAGATGTAGGTGTTTACTGAAGATGGTGTATTTTTAAGTAGGCCTATACAAACTTCAATGTTCAAAACATATTTCTGCGTGAATATATTCACAACTTCTAACTTCTTTCTCTTCCTCCCAACCCATTCTCAACGATCAGTTGATTGGTTCCTGCCGAAAACTCTAATTCCATCACCACAAAAATATGGTGGTGGACCTGCAAGAATTATTTTACCAGGCCGGCAGATACATGACAACTAATAATGTGTTGAAGTTGTTAACCAAATGTTAATATCAAAATGTAACCTACCGTAGGCCTACAGTTTACAATGATTTTGATCAGTAAATAGCCAGTGTAAGCAATAAGCATAAAATTATAATTACAGCGTGAATCCAAATATGTTAAAATTTAAATAGCAGATTAAATGAGGAAATCGCAAGGACTGATAAAAATTTGGAGTATAGAGAAGTAAGACATTGTTCATCATTTTTTAAATTATCTGGGGTATTATAAAACTATAAAAGTTTCACACATCCAAAAAACTTTTAGACAAAAAATAATGTATACTTTTTTATAAAAAAATTAAATACCATCAGTTTTAAAATTATCTAAAATAATAATAGTTAAATGCGGAGTAGATTAAAGTCGGCTAAGTCTACACAGTCTAATGCATTATTTTCTACAGATATCTAATCCTTTCTCTAATTCTAAATTACATTGTGAGGATATAAATTTCTGGGTTATGAGGTGGCAAAAGCCTCTTCAAGGGCTTCTTTGAAGACAGAAATTATAGAATACATTTGTCTAATTTGAGATTTGCAGTGAAGTTTTTCATTTAGTTTTTACTTTCATGATGTAGGCAACAATTTAGATTTGTGGTGTGTTGTGGTATATTAGTATAAATTTACAGCCTCACATATAAGTATCAATTACTACCGCTACAACTAGAAGAACAAGGTGCAATTACCACATATGGTAGGTTAAGAATTTCTGAACCACTGTTCAATGACATTGCATATAAACAGGTAGTGTTACTTGTGGGTTTAAAGTGCAAAAACCATGCAATATAATTGATTTTAGTATAGAAAAGCAAATTTATGTTTTTGTACTATTATTTACTAACTACGCTTATTCATTTAGCAACCATGCATGTTTTTTTCCTATAGCTATGTTTAACATTTTCGGAATATTAAACCTTCAAAATTTGTTATTTTACAAAGTACATTTGATCTTCTATAGGCTACCTGCCCTTGAGAGCTGCAACAAAAATATAGACCCAAGCCACTCAAAAATGGAAGAGATTAAATCAGTTAACCAATACGCTTTGTCGCATATTTTGGAATGTAATCAACTGTCAAAACTAGTGTGTTAATGTAAAATTTGTTCTTAAATGTATTTGATTAGGTAGTTACATCAGTATTATGCAAATTATTAACTTTCCCAATAAACTCTGTCTGGATTGTGTAACACTATTAATTTAGTAATCTGTAGCATCTACAAGATTATCAATAAAATATTTTCCTGTTAACTAGTAGCTTTGACTATTAATAATGCTAGTAGCAAGCAGTAACTAAACAATTAATTTGTTTTACATGAATAAACAGTGTAAGCATCATTATTAACAAAATACAACCTTTTCAGGTTTAAAAATTAAATTGATATTGTATCATCTGTATTTTTTCATTTGTTTAAAAAAAAATAAAATAAAAACACTACTGGATGTAAAGAACTGAAGACAAACGGTATCAAAACGGAAACAACCAGTTAATTAGGAGTATCTTTTAATGTAAAATTCTTACGATATATGCTATATTGCATTTTAATTCATACTTTTGAGTACGGTAATGGAATGTCGTGCTAGTGAAGCAAAAAGCTATATGTAGCAGTGGCGACTGATGGATAAATCTTAGGGGGACTTGAGGTCGATTCACACATATCAATCACGTCACAATAAACCAAAATATTCTTTAAAGGATTTTCTACACTCATCCGGCACAGATCCGTCAGTCGCTCTGTCAGCGTCCGTCAGTCAATTTCAGATATCTTTACACCAATATTTTTGGATTGTTCGGACGCCTGACGGACGTGTTTGAGGTTAGAAAATAGCGTTTTTATTATTTAAATGATTATTTTTATATTTTGAGTACTATGTGTAACAATTAACAAGATGGACGGTGAGAATTTGATAGAGTATATGGTTTTAAATTTAAATTTAAAATATTTGACTGACTATAACATCACTGTAAATATTAGAGACAGAAGACTGACTGAAACCAACTGACGGAAAGTTGACTGAGGAATTGCGGATGCAACTGAGACTAAACTGTGACTGGACTGGTGTGAATCAACCTTTACTTGACCATTAAGAGGTTATTATAAACACCTCTTACTTTATCAGTCTAATAACTTATTAGATTAAAGGTTTTTTCATATAAATATCACCAGTTTGTTATGGAAATGTATGTTAATGTACATTTCATAACCTTTCTTAAGACTGGCATTTTTATAATCTGTAACCTTACTTAAGTACATTATTTTAACACATAACCTTAGAGGGTGCAATGAACCAAACATATAATACAGACGTATTCCTGTTGATGATTGTATATTTTTGTCCATTACAGTACCACATCCTTAAGTGACTAGAAAAATATATCTTATGAACCAACCTCTTAGAAACAACCATGTTCTGGATTTTAAGGCGAATAAAATATGTAATAAACTAAATGCTTTAGGTAACATACTAAAGTATACTATAACCATATTCTAATCCAACCAACTTTTTGATGCACTGATATTAGAGTAAAGCTGGTTAAAAACCCAACTCAAAAAAGTCTGACTCGTAGAATAATAATTATTGAAACTATCTACACGCTGTGACGATTTTAATCATTGATTTGGGTTCGACTTTTGTAAATCAGAGATAAAAAAAAAACTTTTCCTTGCCCTGGTAATATTGTGTTTATTGCTTGTAGTTTAAACTTGTTGGTTGAATAAAGTCAATGAGCATTTAAAACCTCTTTAAAAACAGTAAATAATTAGGTCAAACTCAAATTATCATAGGCCAGTTTTAAGCTTAGTGAGTAATGTAACTGAAAATTTGCCTCCCATTTTAAATTTTGTACAGGTACTATAAGCATTGGCCAATGGTGATTCAGCAAAGGATAACGAATTTGAATCTGGGCAGTGAATCAGAGGAAGACAAATTGGACGGAAAACTCAGATTTCACTTGATATGCAACAATATTGACAGGCTGATAGAGATTTTCTGAAAAGGTGTAACAAACTTACATGAACTTTTAAGATAAAAAGGTTCTACTGATAAACCAAATTCTATACTCACCGGAAGCAAAAAAAAACCCCTGAACGATATTGGAATGGCGAAAACATATCATTCTTCCTGAACTACATTCACCACAAGAAATGATTAGAACTGGAACTAAATGACTGAAAATTACTTGCGTCCGCCATCAAAGTGAAATCACTAGACGATTTACGGAAAGTAAAATAAAATTATAAAAAAAATACTTATCTGGTTAAGAAGTTATTATTATGATTTAGTATAGAAAAAGAAAGAAAACTTTGCTAGTGTAGAATCTACCTTAGCAAAACGTCTGACTAGAAATCACATAATACTTATTTTTGTATCATTCTCAAAGCTTGAACAATGATATATAAGTTAATTTTCTTATTCTTCCTTTCTCCTCACTTCATTTAGGTATCGTGAGCTATTTTAAGGAAGACATCTGAAACTTCTATCTCCACAATGTTTAATCCTAAAAATAAACTGGTTCAGAAACTCAAATCTTTGTTTTAGTGTTATACATACTAGAATCAACATTTAACTCAAATGAGTCTTTGCCAGTGTGGACTGGCTGATTTAAGTCTCTCAGTAACCAAAATCCAAAGTCTTAAAGACTAAATAACTTGATAACTAACAAATTCTATAGTTCTTACTAAAGTAAAATTGTATACTCTTCATATCCACTGACTGGAGGAGACAAATCTGCAACAGAACACTGTGATTGAGGAAAATAACGTTTTATTCTTTCCAATTGAGAAAAAATTATAAGTACGAGGGCTATCCAGAAAGTAGATTACGTGTATGTCTGGATCCGCTAGGGGCGGGGCTAGCGCAACCATCTTGGTGTTAGTTCGTTATGCAGCTCAGTCGGCATCTAGCCGTGCTAGTAAGAGGTTTCTGCTGTAGACCTACTCCGTTGAGTTACTGTGACTGTTTAAAATGTCTGTGTTAATTTAAAATGCCGAGAACTGTGAAGTGTGTGCAAAAAAATGAATGGACTCTTTGGTTTAGAGTTAGTACAGTTTTGTAACCAAGCTTTTCGCTTATGATCTCGTGCAACAAACGCGAAATTTGTGGAAAACCCATAGAGAGTTCTGTTATTGTGAACTTTCGAGTTTTACAGACATCGGCATCGACTTTCTCGACAAGTTTGGCAGTCACAATACTGGGTCTTCCACTTGGCTCTCCGTTGTGAACGTTAGTTTGGCCATTTTAAAATTTGATGACCACTGACGAACTCCACCTTCAGTAATAATGTTTTCCCAATAAACAGTTTTTTTTCACAGTTTTTTGCAGTCAAAAACCTTATAACAGCACACACTTCACAGTTCCTGGCATTTTCAATTAACACAGACGTTTTAAACTGTCACAGTAACTCAACGGAGTAGCAGAAACCTCTTACTAGCACGGCTAGATGCCGACTGAGCTGCATAACGAACTAACACCAAGATGGTCACCCCGCCCCTAGCGGATACAGACAAAAACGTAATCTACTTTCTGGATAGCCCTCGTATATTTGAGAAATTAAAAGATTTCATTGTTGACTGACACTTGAGGTTCATTGTCCTAGGATCATATTGCAAGAAATCCAACATATTTAAAAGAGACAAATGAACCAGGAAACCCAGGCCGACATAATGTATTCAAGCACTTGTGTGCCAAATGTCATGAAAATCGGTTCAGGCATTCGGTCGTTATAGCCAATTCATGGGGACCCAGCATCCTCTTACGGCCGCCATTTTGATGACGTCATTACGGACGACCGAGGTCCTTAAAAATTGGGGTCTGGGCGGTTTTAGGTTCAGAAACTTGTATACTATAACCACCTAAAATTGCAGCCTGTCTGCCAGAACTGAAATATTTTCCTGCTACCCAACCTGACTAATTGTATCGACAATCAGCCTAACTTGGTTTGAAGTTTGAACTTTTTTTTTACTTTTTAAAATTATTTCTTTGTTCTACATTATTTGTAAGTATAGCCTAAATTTTAATTGGAAACGATTTGTATAAACCCATAAGACACACACACACACTTATGCTATTTACTATCATCATTTTTAATAACAGTGTTTACTTTACCACAATATTCCAGACAAAAAACAAAAGAAACACAGTGCAGAAATACTTCAACATCAGGCTTCCCCCAACGGCATACTGGACCATTACATAGCTAAGTAGGCTAATAGTTTACTAACACAACACATAATTAAAATGCAAAATTCATATCTCCTGATTAAGAACTAGTGACACAAATTCTAGAAAATGGTGGATTCTATTTTTTTGTACAGTGCAAAAGCATGAAGATGGTTTAAAAGGCCTAATCTTAAATTAAGATTTAAGGTACAATCTTTTAGGATCATCCTGCAGTCCAGCTACTAGGAGGTCACAAATTGTGGATATTTATAGAGATGCACTGTGGATGCAATACTCCCTGGTGTGGATTATCATCTGCACTAGTGAGTACTTCGACTATCCGCAGTACTATCCTGATAATTAGATACCAAGGCAAGAATTTGGTTCGGATTCCACTATAAACTGTAGGTCCCTTAGCTGTCATTAGCTGTTTGGGCTATTAATTAACAGGTCTAAGGAATATGTCAGCCTTAGTTACTAACAAGACTACAAGATCGCGCCACTCATCCTTCACTCATATTTGGGTTAAATACGCACATAGTGGTGTCCCCATCTTAAATCAAATAATTGATATAATTGATTGATAATAATTGATATCATTCTTTAAGTTTGGCAGACTTTATTGTGATGTAAAAGTGACCACTTTCCTCATTTTAGATTAGATATTACTGATATTAGAACAATAATTCTGTCAAGAGGTTATTTCAACAAAATTATCTCTGTTCTTGAAAATATTTATGTAACAGATGTACTTTTAAGTGGGCTGTGTAAATTTAATTTGGTGTTACTTGAGTCACACGTCACACAACCTTTAGCACTTACAGGGAAATGCCACTTTTGGAACTGAAAATGAACACCACTTCATCACTGATAATTTCTTGAAAAAAAAAAATGGTATTGTACTTGTTTGTATTAAGACAGAACAACAATGGCTAATACATACCAGTAAAAAAATCATCAACGTGAGAACTTAAAGATAACTTGTAGCTTGTAGCTAAATATGTTTTGATGGTAAATATAAACCACTGTATGTCTGTTACTGCAATTGGATCGAAATTATTTCAATATCAGGTATTGATAGACAGACGATAATCCTGAGACCACATCAGTACGTAATAGTCTTCCTCACAATCCTATCTGTGACAGTGTGAAAGTGTGTTGAATTCTCCAAGTGTAATCACTTTGTTTTTTGTTTTTTTTTGTTTTTTTTTTTGTAAATCCTTGTTATATGTTAACTAATTTGGATGCTAAAGATAACTCTTTCCTAGCAAGATGATGAAGGGGTTTTTGAATAACCATTGAAATATATGTAGCAAGTTACCGTCAAAACAACAAATCATCTACAAGTTCACATGTTGAAAATTGTTTTTCGTCGAACATTTTAGCCATTATTTGTCATATTGCAATTCTGGGACTACAAAACGGAATTAAATAAGACAGAAAGTGAACTGAGAAGCGGTGTGAGGTGAGCGTTCTACCTGTGCGCTAGAGTTAGACAGAGGTGCACGAGAGCAGTGGCGTGTTGGCGTTGGACAGGCGTATCAGCTCACTGCCAGGTGCAGACCTTGGCTGCTAAGACGGCGTAACCTCCTCCTTCTCTTCCATCCAGTTGTACAGGGGGAACTCGAAACACAGCAGGAACTTTAGGAAGTACGGCACCTCCATGTAGATACCGGGCGGTATTGGAATCAGCGGAGAGGTGGACTGCTTGTACAACCGGTACTTGGGGATGCTGCAACAGGATGAGAAAAATACATACCAAACATGGGGGTGGAATGTCTAGTTTTATAAATAGTCAAAGGTGCTACGATGCTTTATCCAATGCATATTGAAAACTACTAAGACATGCTAAGCGATTGGAACTAATATTGCAAAGTATTGGTTCATCATAAATGTTTGTTTGCAGTGTAAGAAATAGTCACTTAAACTGATCTTATTGGCAATTTTTATATCCTACAAACACATTGCACTAAGTAATGTATCAGCGACTCCAACAGTTATGTAACCAAAATTTTACATTTCTTTCTTATTCTTCTTTCATTGGCCCTTTAGCCTTCTATCAGCTATGGTTTCCTGTGGATGTTTCTAATTCTAACGACCTCAGGAAAAAGCTAATTTCAGAATTCTGTCATCGCCTAGGGACAACGATGAAAGAGGATCACCCTCGTGAGGTGGTGCTGCTAAATTAATTATGTATACGACTAAATTTTATAACTAAAGTGTAATATAATAACCAATAAAAACTCACTGTCGATATTTCTGATCTGACGATCTTTCCAAGAGAGGAATCCCAGATACAAAGAGGATGATAAAGGTTGTAAATATCGGGCTGGCTATTCCGGCCCACTCCGGTCCGTCGATGACGTTCAGAGAGATAACAAAGATCCCCCACCACAGTAAGATCTCACCAAAGTAGTTAGGGTGTCTTGACATTGACCAGAGCCCTGGAAAATCACTAGAATTCAATAACCTACTACGTGTGGTCTATCATGAATACACTATCAGGGTTCCCACTCAAGGCTGGGTATTAGAGTGGGTCGAAAAATCACAAATTATTTTTTGAGTTGGAATACCTTGAAAGTTAAAAAAATTAAACACTGAAACTGAAAAAATGGAAAACATATTTTGTGGAAAGAATTACATCTGGGGAGCCAAGAACTTTGCTGCATATGGAAAAGTCTGTAGTAAGTGTTAACAAAGGAGGAGAAAGTACATTGTGCGCCTCGAAGGAAAAGATTACATTAGAAATAGACAATTTTTAAGAACAGTCTTGAGTTGTGATGAAGATAGTTTTGTGATATCTTCTATGTAAATAAAATTAGAGTTTTGTCTGTACATGGTCAGAATTATATATTTTTAGGTTATTTTTACGTTTTATACATTAAAGAAGCAGAAACAAGTCTTATCTCTATTTCTGTCTGTCTGTCTTTCTTTCTATCTGTCAGTAACACTCATGATGGCATGTTACGCAATCTTCTCCATGAAAACAAGTGTAGCTATCAAGATCCAAGACATTTTAATGTATTCACTGGATTGGCAAGAGTGTCTTTAACCATTAAAATAAGGCCTCACTACTTTGTAAATAAAATTACGGATGTTCAAAAATGCAGTTTTGTGCGATTTTTGTCAAATTTTCTTTCAGTTTTTATCACATAATCATTAATGAAATAACGAACAGCTGTTTGGATCAAGATTATTTTTTCCAGCTGTAGGCTAACTGATATGGTTGCGGTATTTGTAAACAACATTTTTTACAAATGTTGTTTACAAATACCGCAACCATTTCTGATCAGGTTTTGAAAGCAAATCCCAACCAAGTGAGATTAAAAACGTTTTTCTTACATAACAGATTTAATTAATCGAAACTGCAATATGATAGTGTAACCGTAAATGAAATTAAATAACTAGGCTTCATCCAGGTCAGGAACCAGAAATTCTTTGTGTATAAAATTGTTCTTGAGTTTTGATAACCAGAAAAAAGACCTTCAATCAGTGTTGTACAGGGCTGGGGCATTTAATGATCGTCGCCAATAGCTTACAAACAGGGTTTCCACTCATTGACGGCGCTTCAATGGCGATTGTGTAAAGTGTAAAGTAAAAAAATCACAACTGCAGTGGGTAATTGTAACAGAGGTTTACGGATGATGCTAAACTCACTTTTCCAATGTGTCACTTTCTGTTTCTACTCACCTTGTGATGCAATCGCTGGACCATACAGCCAATAGGCCCATAGCCCATCTCTTGTCTACCTATTTATTCATAACAACCTTTTCGACGACGATCCTTGATACCGGTACTTTTCCATAGAAAAATGGCCTACCTACCAGATACTTAAATAAAATTACAAATGTCCAAAAACCCAACATTGTGTGATTTTTGTCACATTAAACTGACTACTATAAGATCCCCGTGCGTAGAACGGGCACACAGCTAGTTACAATATTAAATTAGTTTGATATAAAATTTGTGTTATTTTATATAAGACAGTTATATCAACAGTTTCATTACCATCATTGCACCATTTTCCTTTGTTTGCTGGATCTTGTCGAAAAGAGAACTTCTGCAGATCGGCATATGTTTCGATGAGAAGACCAGTGAAAAACATCCCAGTTCCCGTAGAATCGAGAGTTGTCATAGTTTTGGGAGCTCCTCGAGCGATGGAGTTGTGAGGAGAATTGATGAAAATAACAGGCAAACTCACCACAAACACCCAGACTGCCTGTAAATTGATAACAGGAAACTATCATTTATAGTTGACCTACACTAAATTTTTACAAATATAACAGAAAATTATATTTGACAAATTTAATAACATTGACTTTGGGCCTAAAAGAAATGTTAGTTTATTACAGGCGAAAAACTGGCTCATTATTGGGCATATCCCTCCATAAAAAACACATACAAGCATTCAGCTTTTAAAATTCATTTTCATAGCTCCAGGATTGCGTTAATATGACAAATAATGGCTAAACGTACCTCGTCAGACAATCCTTAACACGTTGTATCGAATGTACTACATAACCGCCAAAACATATGTCATTATTTGTCATTCAGCTTTTACTTATATTTTGAATAATTGGTGCTACAACGCAAATATAATAAAATACTTTTTCCAACACTTTTTAATCAACAAATATATAGTAAACATGACAATACAAATTATGAATTACAATCCTGATTGGTTTTTGTCCACTCAAACCAGTCATCAGACCCAATCGGTAATTGTCTTCAATGTCTTGTAAACATTTTTACATTTGCTTGTTTGAAAGTAAGTGGCATTTTGCTATTTAAGGGATTGCTTGAAGGAAAAGCAGGTCAAACCCCTCAAATTTATGTGGATGACTCAGTGATTGAACCCGTCTTTGTCATACCCAAGTTTGGCCTGCCATCCCACAGTTCAAAGGCTAGCAATACACCAAAGAGTGTTGAAAGAAGCTTTTAATATAGACCTATTTGTATTACATTTTGACAAACATCTTTACAAAGTAGGCTATGCCTAAATAAGTATATAGGCCAAGTGAATTTGTCACTTTGTTGTATAACTCAAATATTTAGTGTCTATAGTTCTCTGTTGTCTTAGCAATCAGATGTGCTCTCCCTTGCATTCCTCAATGGCGTTTGGTTCCCATTAAAGAAGAAAACTAAAAAAAAAGTGTTTTGACCAACACTAAGAGACCATTTTACAGCGGCTTCCAACAAAACCTATTATTCTATTAACTTATTGGAAAGGGATTAAGTTTTAGGACTTTTATCCCAACTCCTATTTATCCTAAGTTACGTATCCTAAAACAACACATTCAAAACAAAATAAAATAATGGCCCTAATATTTAAAAAATGTTAACATCTAGGGGATAGGTTTTAAAAGGCTAAATTGCCTTAGAACCTTCCCGCAACAATCAAATACCTATCATGCTAAAAAAAAAACTTTTTAAAGGCTCAACATGGCGGAAGCCTGGTGTGGTAATTTAAAATCTATGTCCTGTATTTATTGTAATAGGCTCACCTGAAACGTCCAAAACACTCCAAATCTGATAATGTTACTTCTTCTGTCATCAAATCTAGCATCTCTACCTATTTGTAATATTCGATACAGGAGATATCCAGAGAGTCTCACGCCCCAAAGACAGACAAAAGCAGTCACCATCAATTGTCTACTATCGTAACTCTGTAACAACAACAAATATTTAGCTACTATTGCCATCTGACAGAGTTAGGCAATTTTTGTGAACTTTGAAGGTCGGAACTAATACATTTCTAAAGATACCTATAGGATTTTTTTATTTCCTCACTGTTTTCTATTGTGCTCATGTGCTACAAATCTGAAAAGAACTCATTAGAGCTCAGAATATATATTTATTTTTTATTTTTATGTTTCATTGGCCTAAGTTACATTAAAGAAGCCAAAAACAAGTTTTATCTCAATTTCTGTCCGTCTGTCACGGCCCAGAAGGCATTTTACACGGCCTTCTCCTGAAAAAACGAGAACATTGATCGGGATTCAAATAGTCTTTTTGTATTCATTGGATTGGCGAGTGTCTTTAGTCAAAATATGCCTTCACTACTTTTGAAATAAAAAAACCAATGTTCAAAAACCCAATTATGTGCGATTTGTTAGGCTATCAAATTTTCTCACAATGTTTACCGCATACGTCATTTAATGAAATACTGTTTGAGAATACGACATCTATAAAATTACGAACAGCTGATTAGATAAAGATAATTTTTTCTAGCTGTAATCTTGGTGAGGTGTTTAGTAAAGGAAACTGCCCTGTCACAATGTTTTAGCGAGTTTTTAAGGTGTGGTGTCTAGTAATCTAGGCATGGTGTCTAGTAATCAAGGCATGGCGTCTACAGCAAGTCTCGGTGTTGTAAAATGGACTTAAATTGTGTAGAATGATAAAACAAAAGGTGTATTAGTGTACAAGATTTACTTAATTCAAAACCACAACATAACTTTCCACAAAAACAACATCTGGTATCCATTTGATCAATGTCTAAGTCGTGTTCAGCAGCAAGAGCTAATAGAAACCTAATCAAACTGTAACGCACAACAGGTGAAAATGTTTCATCATAGTCTAATTCCCTGTTGTAAAATGACTAAAATTGTGTAGAATGATAAAGACAAAAGGTGTATTAGGTATTCCATATCTGTTGGCACAAACAACCGAATGAGTAATATTGATTATTCGATTGTTTAATTTGATATATTGTTTGGTTAGTTAGGTTAGGTTAACCTTACCTAACTAACCAAACGATATATCGAATAGGCCTAATCGATATATCGATCGATATTTTCATTCGGTTGTTTGTGCCAACAGATATGGAAGTGTAGGCCTACCCCAAGTTTTACTTAATGCAAAAACACAACATAACTTTCCACAAACAACATCTGGTATCCATGACAACTAACTTATACAGAACACATGTGATACCAAAATGAACTATTCTCACAAATCATATTTCAACACTCGGCAACAAAAGTCATTTGAGAAAGTTGTAGAGTTCTATGAACAGTTTTAAAAGGTCTTAGCCTATATAACGTTTCAGGTGAGTTGGGCGTCGGAAATAATAACCAAGCTGCCATTAGTAAACACACATATTATGTAACAAGAACTTACCTTTAGGCTATGAGTTAGAGATGGGCGTTATTTAACATAACAGGATGAATAACAGTGTTGCGGCCACGGCAACGTTATCGCGGCAACACGTTGCCGAGAACTCCCTGTTATTATAATAACGTATCTATCTACCCAATGTTGCAGGAAAGCCGCTCGGACAATGAAAACGAAAACATGCATTGCCTTTACTGACGTTGCCACAACGCTACCAGAGCAACGATAACTTCTGAAACGAACTAGAATTAGAATAACGCATCCTGTCTGGACAACGCGGCAACGTCCGACTCGCGACTACAACTGAAAACTGAACTGATCAACCGACAACGATAACTGAACGCCGCAACACCGACCGGCGGACAACGGTTTACACAGCGGCAACGCCGGCAACGAGTTGGCAATCGTTATTGAAATAACAGGTTGCCGCAACACGTTATTGGGCAGCTGCGTTATCGTTATAACCGTTGCCGGAAAACAACGATAATTCCCATCTCTACTATGAGTTGAAATGAAATTATTAAACCTTTTGTAGTACTTACCGGCTTGAAATGAGCTTGTCCAAAGAAGAATGATAGCAAAGCTACAACTATAAAATTTGTTCCACCAGCAAAATCAGTAAGTTTGTCAAACTGGAAGTAAGCTGCTATTGAGAAAAATGTCAACTGCATTAAAACAACCACTATAGCACATATTCCAAGATGCCATTTATCGAGGATTTCAACAACCATTTTTACAAATACCTCTACAAGGGATCACGTTTATTGCTGAATATCTTGTAGAAATTGTGGTCTACGCCTAAATCCACAATTTCTTTATCGTAAGTAGCTTTTGAAACACTTGCTGGAAGTCTTAGTATGATCAAGATTGTTAAGGACAATTTCTAAAACAATAGCCATATAAATTGATTGAGCGCAGAGTAAAGTGGATACTGTACAACCACCTAACAAAATAATAACTAAACAATTTTATGTTATTTACAGAACTATCAAAATATACTCAGGGGATAACCAGAATTAGTAAGTTTACTGTTGCAACGAGCAATAATAATACGCAATACAACGACTAAAATCCAAATCAAAACAAAACATGAGCAAGTGCACTGTGCAGACGACAGGCAACGAAAAAAAACATCCCCACCCAACCATAGAAATAAAAATTCTCTATGTCTATCTACTGATTGTAGGTTACTGTAGGTCATTGATTATTGAGAAATAGATTTACGTGTTTTCAGATTTTTACGCATACGACATACAAACATTTTTTCGTAAATTCATATCTTGTTAATAAATCCATTCATAAATGTTAATAAAGTTGCCTGAACTTGACTTGTGCCTCTACCAGCATGTATTTATATAATTTGACTGTGTCTGATGCATTTATATAATGTCTATAGACGAATAAATATCATTTCATATCATTTCATTTCATCATTTCATTTCATTTCATTTAAAGACAACCTGATTTCTGACACCCAAATAAACTAGCATTTGGGTATGGAAATTACCCTCCTTGGGGTCAAAACCTTCAAGCTTTGTAAAGGAACATTTTCATCACTGTATTTTCATAGATATAAAACATACTCCCTTTAGTCGATTTGTCATCCTTATGGATCAGAATGTTATTTCAGTTAATTAAAACCTCGTTTAAACCAATAAAACTATCTAAATAGCTCGTACCCTAGTTATATAACCAAATAGGCGTTCATGACGTCCAACAGATTTGCAGGAACCACTTGAGGAATTAAACCCCATGCACATAGGCTAGCACTCTGACTATATGAGGCTGGGTTAAGGGCTCAAATACCTATTTTTCGCTACGTCTGGTGGAAAAAGTGAACCATGTAACTGGCATAGCCAAATTAGAAAGCCTGTGAAAACTTGGCACGCTTCAAGCTACTGATGGAGCCTTCAGGAGTAGTCCGTCTTGGGCACAGATGCCTTATTCCTAATCAATTGAAAATCAGGCTTCGAAGTATACCAGTCAATCACCCAGAACCGAACTTTCTTCCAGTCTCGATACTCCTCCAGGCAGATATTTGTGGTGCATTGGCAATTGTGCCACCCTAGGACTAGGCAAGCGCTACCAAGACAAGAACAGAGGATAGATAGTAAATTTGTGTGATTTTGTCAGGATGCTTAATTTAGCTTTAAATGCAAATGAAGTCACTTCATGAATCGTGTTTCAATAGGTACCTTCTGGTCATCTAGCCATAGGTGCTGGCATCAGGATCAGAGACGGTACAGATAATTAAGCTCTGGCAATAAAGGTTTGAGCATGTCATTCCCTTGGACTGGAGCCATTCTGTGGCATCAGCAAAGTACTAGGACCATGAGTTCACCCTCTTACAAACCTCCTAATTAATGCTGATATCAGCAAATCGATGTCATCATGCTTTGCTGCAAGTTCTGGTGTTTCTCAGGGGTCTCACCTAGTTCCATTCTTGTTTTTCATATTTTATTAATGACATTAAAATGGACATGAAAGTTCTTTCTTTTGCATCTCATCATGTCTGCCAGTCCTTGCGAGATGCCCTAATGACGTATTTGACTGGTGCCACTCCAATGGCTGGGAATCCCCCAAAATCAAATTGATTAGGTAAGTCCAGCAGGAAATTAAATACAGTTGTAGCTGACTACTTTTCTTGGTGGTAACCGGCTGGAGAGATGCAATACCATCCAGGATCTTGGCGTTTTTATCGATTCCTCATTTGAGTTTGGGCGCCTTGATATCTGCTCCAGGGCCTCTTGTATGCTCGGATTGGTCTCCCACTCTGCTAGACATGGCTTGGGTGTCCACGCCTGTATACTATCTCTGTATAATAAGTCTCTCGTTCTGCAGCTACTCAAGTACGCTTCTTTGGTTTGGTCACCATACCATCTCGGCCATATTCACCATCTCCAGTCAGTGCAAAGATGTTTTATCTGGTTTCTGGGATGTCTGGCTGGACTTAACTCTCATGACGCCCCAGTCGACAAGCTAACTGCTACCCAGGCCCTTCAGAGTCTCGAATGCAGGTGGCGAGTGGCTGATGGCGCCCCTCTATTCAAACTGCTTTCGTAAGCAAATCAACTACTCCTTCTTACTGGAAAAGAATTAACTTCTGTGTCCCTATCAGAATCACCGAAAATCACCACGTCTTGGAGCTTACCATGGGACAAACTACTCAAGATCTAGTTCCATTCCCCGAGTTATGCGCTTCGGGAACGAGATCGGCACCTCAGTCGACCTCTTCACTGCCACCTTGGGCGCAAATTCGGCGTACTGCGGCTGATGCAAACCTTGGGATTTATAAGTATATGGCTGTTATAAATTTGTTTGATGTATTGTAGTAGATTATTCATATTGTTAATATTTGTTGTATATTTTTTTATTGTTTGCTCCTATATTTAATTTGTTGTTGATTCTTGATTTCTTTTTAATAGTTTATCTCTGTTAATTGTTAGTTTCTCAAATTTCACACACCTGAAATGGTGATGCCAATGGTGAATGAAGTAAAATAATAATAAAATTTAATCCCAAGGGACACAGATCAGTTTTGAGTAGTCTAAAACATGTTTCAATTGTGTAGAGAACTCTACAAAAGTTTTCATCGGCCACGTACTTCTTTTCCCCCTTGAAAAAACAAGCAAATAAAAGGGTACAGGCAGACTATCACACAGAAATCAAAATTGACTCTACTCATTTCGGTTTCTCTGTATGATGTAAAAGATAATATATGAATGGAAGAATGATTTATTATTAAAAAAAAAATGTATATGCAACAAATGTTTACAAACTAATTACACTATTAGTTTGTTAAAACTTATAGCTTCCGGACCTATGTACGGAAGCTATAAGTTTTAACAAACTTAAAGTAGGTATAGTAATAATACAATAATATACAGAGGAAAAAAATGTGAACATAAATGTTGAATGATACCTATACTAACAATACCTCCGCCGCAGCAAACCTACAGACTAAGCAAATTTCCATTTGCCTGATTGATTTTCAATTAAATGTATTTAAATAATTTTAGTTTTAAAGAGTACTTATATTTGCTGCTACAGGGAGGGTGATAAAGTGTGTTTTTTTCAACAACTAGATTTGTATAAAATAAATAAACTTGCCAACTTTGGTCAAATTATATCCATAAACAAACTACTTCAGTTCACTTATTAGATTCACTTATGGAGATAAGAATAACATGGAAAATTAAAATTTAAAATTTTTGAATTTTCTCCATGACTAATAACTGTGCAAAAACACTTCAATATACAGGGTTAGTAAAAAGTGTGGAGACCCCCTGTTATTTTTTTAACGGCCCATACTAGAAAAACTAAACTCGGCACACCATTATGGCATGTTATGAAGTACTTTTTGGGCATAACCGCCACTTGGTGTTCATCCCCAAAATGGGGAATTTTAGGAGAAACTAAAAAATCTCAAATACAAAGACCCATCGAGTGACCCCTCATTTTGAAGGTCCTCGTAACAGAAAACCAACAACGCAAACTAGAGGTCTCTATCTCAGTTCAGTACAAAATGGCAGCCAATTGAAATTCTCATAAGTTCCCAAACCCGAAATGGGGGATTTTGGGGAAAACTCAAAAATTTTAAATGATAAGCCCCATCAAGTGACCTCTCATTTTGAAGGTCATAATAAAAGAAAACTAACAACGCAAACTATAGGTCTCTATCTTAACACAGTAAAATATGGCAGCCAATTGAATATAAAATTGCAAGTTATTTCCGATTTCTAAAGATTTCAATCAGCTTTCATTTTTTACTGGATTGAGATAGAAACCTCTAGTTTGCGTTGTTAGTTTTCTTTTACCAGGACCTTCAAAATGAGGGGTCACTTGATGGGGCTTATCATTAAAAACTTTTGAGTTTCCCCCAAAATCCCCCATTTTGGGCTTGGTAAGCAAGTGGCTATTAGGCTTAAAAAGTACTTCATAACATGCCAAAAAGGTGTGTAGAGTTTAGTTTTCCTAGTGTGAGCCACTACAAAATTTACTGGGGGTCTCCAGACTTGGAAAGCTGCAAGTTAAATTCAACTTCTGAGAATTTTAATTGGCTGCTATTTTTTACTGGATTGAGATAAAGACCTCTAGTTTGCGTTTTTGGTTTTCTTTAACCAGGACCTTCAAAATGAGGGGTCACTCGATAGGTCTTTGTATTTGAAATTTTTGAGTTTCCCCCAAAATCCCCCATTTTGGGGATGTACACCAAGTGACGGTTATGCCCAAAAAGTACTTCATAACATGCCATTAAGGTGTGCCGAGTTTGGTTTTTCTAGTATGGGCCGTTAAAAAAATAACAGGGGGTCTCCACACTTTTTACTAACCCTGTATAAATTATTTGTTTTTAAGCTCTACAAAATGGATTGGAACCAAATTAATTGCAAAACTTATATTTCAGGGGGTAAATTGAATGTTATGCTAACTTGGCTAACTGCACTCAGAGACAAGATCTGTCAAGAATTTTGGAACCATGCAAGTTGGTCCTTACAAATAGTACAAAACTGAAACCATATGAAATTATATATCAGATACCACTTTGGTCAGAAAACCCAGTAGTAATTTTGTTTCATCTCACTTCAAACACAGGAAATTTTCCTGCTGTTTTAAAACAGCTTCTGCAAATATTGACTTGACAAACATCACTTGAATATGACAGAAACATTCAGAGCAGCTGTGAGTTTATTTGCAAAAATTAAACTCTCTGTCAAGTCAATCTGGCAGCTTCGACAAGTACATGCCGTTACTTCAGCACACCTGCAGACCCTGCAATATCTTGGTGAGACATTGTATATGCCTTCATGAGGCGAGTGAGAGCATATTAAATTGGTTCGTATTTATTTTTAGTTTAAACAGGACTAGTAGAGTACCCGTCCTTTGTACGGTGTTGGCGTATAAGTATAAAATGCTTATTGCGGGGTTATATACTCTTGCTTTGCGTTTGCTATGTGAGAGGACACGGTTTAAGAAAATTTGGTTCTTTTAATTTACAGTATGCTATAGTATAGCACATCTACCATAGCCATAGTTCTACCACTGCCCCTAAAGAATAAA